CTCGCCGGGGCGAGGAACGTCTGTTGAGCTGTTGCACTGAAGCTATGGCGAGCAGCATCCCAGCTTGGCATAGACAGTGCTGTACTGGATAGAACCTGCACGCGAAACCACACGCCTGGGCAGTGATCAAGATGTCCTCGAGGTCGGGCTGGTCAAGGCACCTCTGAGGTGCTGCTGCCACTACTACAAAGCCGTGAGCCTCACAACATGTGACTACCACCCGTTCTTTCTCTTCGCATGCAGTGGCGGAGGTTCCGACCACAACCACATCACCGCCATCACTTGAGTTTTTTCACTTTGGTGTGTAAAAATTTTTAAACGCCTCTCTGTATCCTGCGCCCCTGCACAATATTACAAGGGCTGAAGCATTCTATGTACCAGAAATAGCATCTAGGGGCTACCGAACGAGCACGTCAGCCATTTTATTTATAAATATGCAGTTGTGGCCTGGCGCCTACACCAGCTTCACTGTACTCCAGTGTTTCGAGAATAAAGAAGCGAAAGCATTCCAAGGGGAAGACTCGAATGAAAAAGCTGTGGTTGTGGATATTCATACGGAAAGTGAATCGGCAGCAATAACAACTGCCGAATCATCGATTGACAGTTTTTAAGCGTCAAACTATCTTCTGCAGCTATATTTTCAAACCCTCTTGTAGGTATACTTTCATCACGTACAAACGTTGTCGCAAAACTGAACGTAATACGCTTTTCTTTATATTTGCCGAAATTTAGTATCCTAGACTCAATTTAAATATTGAAGTTGACCGATGATATTCGGCAGGCAATTTATTTATTTATTTATTTGTAAATACTGCCAATCCCAAAGGGATCATAGCAGGAGGGCATATACAATAGTTGAATACAACATAACAAAAATTGTGATTCAATGAAAACACCAACTAATTATAAAAAAAGGGCAACACAAGAGCGATTAGTGGCACAATAATATAAAGAAAACAAGCTCGCATAATAAAACCGTATGCAAGGGAAGAAAAAAAGGAGAAAAAGAGAAAAAGAAAAAGCATTGTGAGACTATGGTGTAAGCATTTTTATACAGTGGTGCTTTAGAGCGAGGCGACAAATGCATACTGCGGGGTTTCTGGTATTTGAAAAGAAAAAAAGTAAGAGAGACAATGCATGAAGAACTGTGGCAGGTGTAGTTTCATACATCAATAGGAGGGGGAAAACGAAAACAACGACAACAAAAAAGAACTGTCTGACAGGGTTCAAGGTACGCTTTGAAGTGCAGTTAAGAACGGTGTTAGTTTCTATGATATGTAAGGGAAGGTTATTCAATTCTCTTATGGTCAATGGAAAAAATGAATTTTTGAAACAGTCGGTATGGAAGGTGTATTCAGTGAGCATCTGCGTATGGTTACGTCTGGTAGGGCGTGTTTGTAAGCTTGTTATGAAGTTTGTGGCATCAATATTTACTTTGTTGTGAACTAATAAATACATAAATTTCAGTCTAGCTATTCTGGCTCGGCGCTGAAGAGTTTCTATACCAGCAGTTTCCATTAACACCGTAGGTGATTCGTGTGGCCCATACTTGTTAAAAATGAACCGTATTGCCTTTCTTTGTACACCTTCAAGGTTGCGATGTCTTGTTTAGTAAAAGTAAACCATACTATGTTTCCGTACTCTAGTATCGGTCGGACAAATTTATTATAAGCCAACAGTTTGGTATCTATGGGGGCTAAACGGAGGCGGCGTCTGATGAAAAAGGGTCGTTTGAGCGCGGTCGCTGTTATGTGGCGTATGTGACTACTCCATCTAAGGTCCTCAGTTATTGTTAATCCCAAGTATTTATGTTCAGTAATAGCGCTTAATTTTGTGTCATTAATTTTATACGGGAATAATAATTTATTCCTCTTTCTCGACATTATGAGTAGGGTTGATTTTTTTGCATTTAATGTCATTTGCCAATCGGGGCACCATTTTGTTACTGTTTGTAAAGCGCGGTCAAGGGCTACATGATCTTCATGCGTGTTGATTATATTATAGATAATGAAGTGATCTGCGAACAGTCTGATGTTTACATGTCTATTAGCGGGTAGGTCGTTGATGAATATTAAAAAAAGAACCGGAGCCAAAACACAACCCTGTGGTACACCGGATATCACTTGGGCAGTATCAGACGGCTGGCCGTCAATTTCAACAAACTGTAAACGATCTCTTAAATACTCAGTTATCCAATTAATTATGGGGCCGTAACCTACCGTTAACGATGCAGTTGATGCAGTAAACTTCATGGTGGCACTTTTTATTGATCTATCTAAAGCATTCGATTCACTTATTCACTACATACTTTAGTCTAAATTCAATTTCATTTGTATAACAGGCGCGGCGCTCAGTTTTGAACGTCTGTCCTGTTTTGTCCTCCAGGGTGTTATTGCTAATGCGCCTTATGCATATACGTGTCATAGAAATACTCAAGGCTGCCTTTCATAGCGTAAAATAAGGTTCGTTTGTGGAAATTCTAAACAGCACTTTATTGTAGAGAGCAATAAAGCGCTGCACATCGTGAAGAGTGCATATTTTTGGGCTGACACTTTAGTTGTTCATCAAGTTCTCTTCACTTTATTCATATCTTGGAAATCTAACCACTATATAGACTTATGTTCCACATGCTTGTCGAATATGAAAATTTCCACAAACTCTGCATACTCATCAGTAAGAGCGTATTAGGAGCCAAAAACCTCCTTTGTGTTGTACACTACAACTTATAGGACAATAGCATAAATAAATTTCTACCTGGCTTTTTTAAAATATTTTGCTACTTCCAGCTAAGGGATTTTCTAGAGCTATATTATTGTCTGAAAGTGGTGCCAAAATGAATGCTATATGGATTTATTGTAGTGCGAAGGTTATAAGTGCTTGGCAGATATGTAGAATTATGCCTTGCGTACAAGCACAGTAATTGGAAACGAATAGTGTTTTAGGGACCATGCATTTAAAATAACTCAAACGTACTCATTCAAGATCATAAGCAAAACATTAACAAAGTGAGTGCATGTGTAGTTCAGCGTGTTGCCTTCAGGAGTGTAGAGGGCGTCGAGGGCATAAAGGGTGGAGAGGCCAATTGTGGCGTCGAGTATATGCAGTTGTACTGGCAGTGGACATCCTAGGATAGCTTAAGAGAACCAGCCCTACGGGCGAAGGCGTTTGTTTATTATTGGTGTGTTTGAGAATAAAATAACGTATAAAAATTTCATAGTTTCGTGCAGGAAAACCTCTAATGTAGCTTCCAGTGAAACGGGCACTGTCATATGCGAGTGCTTTTGTCGACTAGAAGTTAGGTTCGAGCTTCCTGTGCTGGGAAGTATAAAGTTTTTAGTTGTTATTTTACTTTTATTGATGATCTCACATGCTTGCGCTACAGCCCTAGGGCAATAAAATTATTCTTATCATATCACTCGGTCCATTCAAAATAGTTAGGAGAGGAGTTGTAAAAATGTGTTTCACCAACGCACTTACAAATCGTGCGTTCGTTGTACCAACAAAGGATTGAGCCAGCTTTCTATCCGTCTTCGAAATGCTGGTTATCCCAGACAGCTTTCGGTGTTACATGCAAAAGAAATATTGAACGTAGTGCGAAATGCTAGGAAACCTGAACGCATTGAAGAAACTTATGAACAGGAGGAAGAAGAAACGATAGTAATGCTTGATATCCACCTGGTCTTGCACAAAATAAAAAAATAGCAAGGCGTTGTGAATCTGGTGCTGTTTTGTCAGCACCTAATAAGCTGATCAGTCTTTTAGAAAGTCAAAACTAGAAAAAAAAATCGTGCGGACTTACAAGGACAAGACTGGAAAAAGTTTATTTATTGTATGAAACCAGGCATGTACAGCATTCTCTTGACTTGTAGAAATTGTTACGCTGGGCAATTAAGAAGATGCATCTATAACTGCGTTAAAACTAAAATAAAGTTGAAAAATGCGAGTGATGGTTTTTCTGCGCAACATTGTAAGGAGCATCAATGATCCCCTATCTTTGAAAACACCAGAAATATAGCTAGAAGCAATTGTGAAATTTTTCGTCTTTTAACAGATGCTGAACAGAGTGCTCCACTTCGAGAGTTATTTTTGTGAGGCAGTCGTATATAGCACTTTACGAAAAAGAATACACGTATCTGCGCAAGCCTTAAGCTTATGAGTGTACGTGTATTTATAATTATGCTGTTGCTTTATTCACCGTGCACAAGTTACTGTGACTCGTCAGACAAGTGCACACGTGGTCCCTGGTTTGTGAGAATAACAATGTTGCTCTATCTGTATGTGCTTTCAATTTTTTTTTCCTGTCTTGTTGGTGTTCAACAAGAAAACTTACTGAAGATGAGCTTCCAACAAGCCCGCATCGCATCTCTCGCGAACGCCACTTTCGCCAAGCTGAAGATGTGAGTGCCGACATGCTAGAAATGGGATTTTGAATCGCATTTAAACGTACTAGTACGTGTCGGGTGGTAATCCTCTGCAAGACATTGCAGACAGGGCAAGGAAAGATTTTTGTTTTGCTAAATTCAGAGCAGTAGAGAAGCGAGTGTATTTTTTGTGTCTTTCACAAAAGTCACTTAAGGAATGCAATGTCATGTGAATCTCTTGCGATCATTAAGATCAAATTAGCTGAATGGTGTTACAAGCCCTACAATAAAATTGCACTCACTTATATCGAATGAAACGGAGCTACTAGACACCTGAAAGTCCAATTTAAACTTCGCTAATTGTCTGACATTTCTCGTTTGCTAACATTCACTGGGCGCACACGTAGTTACAAATCACACATGTCGAAGGAAGCGGAACAATTAGACACTTGAAGGTCAACTATAAAGGAAGCTTTTTTTTTTGCCTATCGCCTGACCTTTCTCGTTTGCTAACTTAGCATCGACTGGGTGGTCGTGTTGGTGGCACGGTAGCTAAATAAAGCAAAATGAACTCATTAGTCAACCTAAGGGTATAAAATGACTGGCAGCCGGCTTTTTCTCTGTATCCTGCACATTGTGAGCACAAGTATTGCATGAATTGATTTCTTATCGACAGGGGCATACTGCTTGCGTTACAGGTAAGGCGGTCTTTATTTTGAATAACATGTTGAACGTCTCCTTCAGGCAAATGGTTCCAGCATTACAGTTGGACGTTTACGGTAGCAGTACGGCTGTATATTGTGCGTGGTTTGTTTAACGCACGAACACTCACAAACAGAATAACGTTAAACTAGAGTGAACTGCTTCTCCTTAAGCGCATTCCCGTGACTTTCGTTTGTACATATATCCGTAGTAACAACTACTTGAACGTAGACTTTAGGCTATATAAGGTGTAGTAAATATTTGCCAATATCAGGTTTTTATTACATATAATAAAACTTGTTTGTCCTGTTTGCGAAGTCTTTTTTATTTCTAAAATACAGCTTAGTCGAGACTAAGTGAGGTTGATTTTGCAGCATTTATCTTCGTAGCGCAGTTGTTGTGCCTTTTGTTTTGGTAGTTTACAAAAATATTAGGCCGTACAAACTCGCCATGAGCCACCAAATTTCAAATTAAGTGGACACCACATGACGCAGTAGTGGCGATGACATTATTCAAACGCCACAGTCGAATTGCTAGAGTGTATTCAAAGGAGGACAGGAGGCCCCGTCTTTCCGTCTTCTCGGAGCCTCACGCGCTTCCGGGATGATTCAGTTAATAGTCCAAGTGTTGATCTGGGCAGCGCAGCAAGCTACCTCAACTCATTTCGCTCCGAGTAGACAGCATATGTATATTCCTGCTCGTGGCAAGTTATTTTGCACCCACTTTTCTGTCTTCCCATTTACATTCTATTGGGTCTAAAGAGGTCGTCAGGAGTAGCACACGCTGTCTTCTCTTTATCAGACTGATGGATCAGGATTGTCGACAGCCTCATCATGGGTCGAGGCTTGAAAAGTATTCGGCACTCTGTAAGGTGTCAAGGGCATCGTCAGCTCGAGGTACAGGATGTATAAATCTTTCGGGAAATTTCGTTTAGTGCCTTGTAATCGACGCAAAACTGCTCTGATCAGTTTTTTTCTTCCTGGATCAACAGAACAAGACCAAGGGCTTGTTAAGGGCTGAAAACTTTGCGTGTGAGCATGTCATTGACTTGTTCTTTTATAACCTTCAGTTCTGAAGACTACACAGCCTAAGAACGACACCGAATGATACAAGACCCGTCTGTCGCAATGAATTGAGAAGACCCCGTAGCTTCACTCAAGCCATCCGACCAAACGTGAAAACAAGTCTGGTCTTTCGTTAAAATGAACAATAAGTTATTAGTTTTCGTTGGACTTAGATATAGCCTCAAAGTGGCTTTAAACGCTTTAGATGAGCCTCCTAGTGGCGTACACTTAGTGACTGACAACAAAGACGATACGCTTACGACACATACATGTGCTGTGTCGATAAGGCTCGCAACACAGGACCCCTCTCAATGTAGTTGTGGCTCTGTTGTCGTGTTGTAGGCGGTGAGATTGACATCCCCACGCAAAAACCGCACTTACCAATAGGCAATGGCGATTCCTCGGAAAATGTAGCGCTGATCAACAACACCCACTGCATCACCGTCAATGGTGTCGCTCGACCTAACTGCGAGAATGGGTTCTTGGGCTGGAGGCAATACAATATGTGCAGCTGTGACAAGGTGTGGTTCACTCGAAGGTTCAGTGCTCATAATGTTAAGTATAGGCGCACCATATGTAATGACAGCGGAAGCAGCTGACAGGAAGTCTCAGCCGAACATAATCGAATGAGCACAAGAAGAAAACACAGCAAGTTTTAATGGTGGCGAATTCTGTCGATCTGAACATGAACATTGCATTGTTCGTAAGGGTAAATTGGATTGTCCATAGCACCCCATAACACTGGACCAACACACGGAGTTTGCACTTTTCATAGACGACGACGTAGTTCGTAGTGAAAGACTGGAATGACGGCTTTAGGATCCATGAGTACGTCAACCGAAGTTCCTTCTATACAAACGGTTAGTAAATTCGCAGAAGTCGCAGAAGGAATTGTGACAATTTGACGACGCGCAGTTTCTCCTCCGAAAAGTGCAGCTTCTAGTTTTCCGAGTGGCTGCCCACAGGCATCAGGGCAAGAGGTATAGGTGATGCGGAAGGGCGGCAGTAAACGACGGTGGTGTGATCAGGAAGAACGAAGGCCACTGTGAGACAAAGGAGGTTTAGGAGAACGTCGTGACGAGGCAATCTAGGTTCCTGGAACGTAAGGGTCGATCCTTGAAGCACGGCCACTCTCATTTGAAAAACAACCTCGTTGATTAACTTGCTAGCGCTGGTGGCAAAAGCGGGAGATATGTCCTCGTATGTCACAGAAGTAGCAAATGTTGCGCGTTAGGCACCAAGCAGGGAATAGTGGTATGGTTGCCTTGGCTGCCATTGCGGCCCAACGGTCGTATAGGACTCCCGCAGGTACAGGGAAATATGATGTTAATAAAGGGGCTGGACTGCTACAGAAAGAACTTCGCAGTACACAAACGCAGAAAGACAGTTTCACACTTCCAATAACATTTCATACCACACATGGACAAAGAAGCATTTAGATAGAGGTCAGGAGCTAAATAATCAATTTAAGTGAAAAGTTCGTTCATAGGGTAGTGACGCGGGCGCCGGCCGCTTGGAGACGGTGCGCCGCTTGTCTAGCTTGCCATGTACAACATGTGTGCTGGTCTTTTCGAACGATGCGCTGCCTGGCTCCCTTGCTGTATTCGACGTGGGCAGTCGTTCCCTTGACCCAGCCCTCTTCCGCAGTATCAGCAGCAGCAGTACTCAGCCGTGTAGTCGTGTCCCTAGCAGCACGTTGGCGTCATGCCAGCCAGTCACCTGCTCCTTAGGCCAATCGCCTAACCGGAACTTTGGTTGGCCTCGTTCGTCGGTTGCTCAGCCCAAGGAACAGCAGCCGAAATAACCATGCGACGACTGGTCCCTGGGTCAGTCATCCTGGCGGACTCCTGCTCGACCATCACCACTGGTTGACAACGAACCGACCGCCGAGCACCACTGAAGCCACGGATCACTCTCTCGTGAGGCCGCGCTTCGCGAGCTGTCAGTCTCTTCTCTTTTCACACCACACCGGACATACGCGCAGCGAGAAACCCACTGTGCCACCGCACGACATTTTCAGTATTGGTTCCTGTTCCGCCCAACACATCACAGTGGAGTTGGTTCAGGAGACCATGAGACGATTTAGGCATACGAAGACACGTGTAGGCGCGGTGCGCAGGGGACGGGGCACGTGTGACACTCGTAGTCGATGCCCGCTCATCCTTTATAAAATCCCGCAAGTTAGAAGGGGACGAGCGGACAGATAAAGTAATTGCACTGACAGAAAAAAGGCTGTGAGGCTCCTATTAGAGTATGGTGCGAATGAGAGCCCACAGCTTGTGCTCGTCAGTGAGAGTAGTGTCAGAGGAGGCTTGTGGAAGGCGCATTGAGTGTAGAGTGCCTCCAAGTGCTGGCAGGTGGTAATGATGTCCTGAACGTTTGTCGGGCTCTGCAGGAGAAAGACAATGAACGCGATGAAGTTGATGCTTTTCAGTACTTAACGAATATGATCGGCCTCCGGCATGCCACTTAGGGCTTGGCGGCAGAGCGATAGAACATCTTCAATGCACGATGTGTACGATTCGTCAGGCCCCTGTTTGCTTGTATCGAGCTTTTCTTTCACTACCTCAGAGAGTCCTTCAGACTTGCTGAATATCTGACGCAGAAACACGGTGAATGCTGAGCAATCAGGAAAGACACGTTTGTCGTTATAGTATGACGGCTTAGCGACGTCTTTCAAACGAAAAGGAACCATAGCGCAGCTTGCACGCCTCATCCCAGTAATTGCAAGCACTGGTGCAATCGTAACTGTCCAGTCATTCCTCTGCGTCCTCACCGCAAAAGTCAGAAAACGTGGGAGGGTCTCGCTGCGATACTCACGCTATAGTGAATCCCAGCAAGCTGAGCGGGTGAGATGAAAACGGCTGCGGGTGCCTCGTTTATGGCCGTCACTGTTAGCAAGCAGAGCCGTCAATCAGGCGAGAGCTGCAATGGTGACCGGTAGAGCGTGAGGACGTCGGATTCACAGCACGCTCAACGACTTGTGAGACGACGTCAGGTACGACGAAAAAATCATTATATACAACACAGGCGTGTGAGCCAGCCACCGACCACACGCCAAGCGACTCCAAAGAGGACAACCACGATGATTTGTATGCTCATATAAAAGTTATCAACTACACAGTCAGTGTTCGCAATGCATCTATTTTGCCTACAAGCACATATTTCTAGAGAATATACTTAAGAGATGCGTGTGTCTACTCGTATAATTTTAGCTATCGTCTGGATAGTTGTGCTATATTCTCCTGAGATGAACAGGTGCTACTAAGTCTGGGTTGATGATTAATTTCGATCTAGCGCTTAGACCATGCCAGGCTTTAAGGTTATTGTGAATTGTCGTGCCTGCATTAAAAAAAAGTCTTCGTCACTTTCTATGGTGATTCCGTCAGGCTACATTCAACCTTTAGCTGGATATCCATCCACTGTAGAGCATCTTGCGGCGCAGACGCGGAACATGAGGCCTCGTGGTAAGCGATGGACCTCCCTATTTAGGTTTTATTTCCAAAGATTAGGGATGGGGTATCTGTGGGCAAGAAACCAGTAAAATTTCCATTTTTTATTATCTTCGGTTGGTAGACTAATTGCCTGTTGTGCGACCGATGATGGCGCTGCGAACCGCACTTGTATGAAGTCACTGGGAAGATTCGCACGCATTCGAGGTGTGGTGCCATGTAAAAATCACCCTCGTAGTAAAACTCGACAAAGAAGCAGTTCAGTTGGCTAGATAGTGTGCGGTGGCTACCGATGCTGTTGTAGCAACCATGATTGTCCACTTTTTTTTCTTATTTTGACAACACTGCGTTGTGTTTCAAAAAACTGTAGCCGCTTGTCTCCACGGCCAGCGCAGCTTAATGCTGCAGTACTGCTCAGTGCCTCTATCATCAGCCACCCGCAAAAAGGCGTTAGTTTTCACAGCTCTTCTAAGGGCCCGA